TATATATACGAATAGTTTATTTGCAAAAACAGATAACTCAAAAATCATGAAAAAAAATCAGTTTTTTATTATGTTATCATGTTTTTATTGTTTTATTGTGTTAGTTAGCTGTATTTTTTTGTTATTTTTAACCTAATTAAAACAACTCAACAGCAGTTTGATTGAGATTAATTGAAATGCACAATGAAAAAACATGATTTTTGAAAATTGTTAAAAACAGAGTTATCTGTTTTTGCAAATGAACTCTTCATATTTCATATATATATATATATATATATGACACACACATGAACAAATACTTTTGTGCCAGGAAACATAAGCCATCATGTTTAAAAGTGTGTTGAAAGTAGAAACCTGTGTTTATCACAATCACAAACAGTCCTGGCAGACCCGAATATGCTCTGATAACCATAGTAATGCTGTTTTTTATTATTTTTCTGCTCATTTCTGATCATGTTATGATGTGTTTTTGAACAATCACTGTGCCGGTCAAGCTTGATGAGTTTAATATATATGATATTTGATTTATGACACACAATGTATATTTTATACTCTGCAAAGTGGGCCTGAATAATCAAATACGGAGCGTCAGTGTCTCTGAGAGTTATATAAAAACTGTGTATTGTATAAAGTACAGGGTCGACTGAGGGACGATTATGTTTCCATTATGACGGAGAGACAGACGGTCAATCAGACAGACAGATGGAGGAGACGGGAAGCTTAAATATCCTCTTGTTGGAATGTTGTATAAACTATTTAACAATAAAATTCTCAATGCATAATGCTGATTGTTCAGTGTTATACTGTATTTACACACCATTGCTTTTTCCGGTTGAAAGTACGTCAACAATGACAAACATTAGTCGGTAATGCATCGCCACCATAAGAGCACAAAATAATTACGATAAGTACAATATTTTGTAGACTTTCTCACAGACATCAATTAAACAGTTCATATATACAATTCTGTGATTCAGGTTGATTGACAGTTAGTTTCTGTGAATGTTTCACCCTATTTTTCCAAGGCAGCATCTACATGGGATGGTGTTTGGAAAGTTTTTGTGTCCATAACAAACTCACAGATGTCATTACAGTTCACAATTCCCACAAAAAGTGCTTAGATGAAAAAAAAAAAAAAAAAACTGTTCAAAAAGCCTGATTCATATTCAGATATGAGGTTTCAGTCTTTCCATTCTGAAAGTGCAGGACAGTTTGAAGCTTCACTGTCCTGATTCCAGCATCATGGCAGAGATTTTAAGCCAGTGCCGTGGTTGTTGGGGCCATTTTACCCGGTCTCTCCTGGACCCAAGGTTGGAGGCTCTGGAGGGCGTAGAGGGAGGAGTTATGCACACATAGAGGATCCGACGACACTGATTCGCTCATGGACTTCTGGAGGGCGTCGGCCTGAAGCTGAAGCAGCATCCGATTGGCTTGCTGCCGTCCCGCCTCTCTTTCCTCAGCTGTTTGCCTTCTGGAGATTTTGAAGTAAGATTATAGTTAGCAAAATGTAGAAATCCAAAACATTTGACCCTTTGATAAAATTCATATAATAATTAAAGAAATTGTGGATTTTAAATCAAATTATGATCATAATAGACCCTATTGACAGACTGATGTGTTTCCACAGTTATCAGCATCATGAATCTAGCTAATTTCATTTTTAAATGTACATTTATAACATTCTCTCCTCCGTCCAACGTAATCAATCTCTCATTTTTTTCCCACTTTTTTTGGAAAGCCATAGAAACGCTATGGTGGATTTTTCTTTTGCTATTGGAGAAAACTAGAACGCAAAAAATATATTTGTTAGTTTCCGTTCACCACTATAGAAATTTAGCAAACTCTGACTATACTTCCACTTCTGAGAACAACAGGAATGTGAAAAAGGTCCGTATTTAAATTACATTTATTGATTCAAATTAAATATTTTCATTATGATTAAATAGTTATGTAAAATGATTTGCTTAAAATTTAAACTAAATTTTAAAACGTGTAATACCTTGAATATAAATACGTCTAAATGTTTGTAGTTACATTTTCAAGCTTCAACAACTTGTGTTAAAAAAACACGTTAATGAAATAATAAGCATCTTGTACGGTTTTGAAATCCTTCAGTCACGTGTGTGATGTTCGGGTGAACAGATCTGGGTCAAACCGGTCTCACCTCCACTTGGTCCGTCGGTTCTGGAACCAGGTCTTGACCTGCGCGTCGGTCATCTTTAGGCTCTTGGCGAGCGTCGCGCGCTCCGCGGACGCCAGATACTTCTGCCGGTGGAAGCGTTTCTCCAGCTCACAGATCTGCACGCGCGAGAACGACGTGCGGGGCTTTTTCCGTTTGGGGGGAGTTCGGTTCTGATACGGGTGACCGATCCGCCGGGTCACGGTGAACGGAATGAGAGCTGCGAAACACAGGGACAAGAGTCATTTATGATGCTCTGTTCCTTTAAATTTTCTAAAAACAAATATCTTTTTTTCGGATAATTCTATAATTATTGTACTAAATTAGCCTAAATAGTTTATAATTCGAGTTTGAAACGAAATTCTCTTGTTGAATTTATTGGTGAATTGTATTATTTGCTTCATATACATATACAACCTAGTTCAAATGTAACAAAACCTATTGTGAAAGTTGTTTTGTGTGTGCACTTTAATGTATTTTGTAGGTAGCAATTTTTTCCCTTCCCAAAACAGCTGTTTGTCCACATGAACGACATCACTGTCAAGGAGGTCAACGTGTGCAATGACAAAAATAAATCGGATTTGAGGTAATTTGAGAGAACATTTATTAGGCTAATTTTAAGATTCATGCAGATTTATTTCACTAATGTGAATCACTAAAACGGTCACCTATGTTTGAAACAAAATACTTTATTTATTTATTTTAAATCATTTTCACGCTTATTAAACGATTAAATCAATATTTTTACCCAAGGGAACACGAACAGAAAAGGATGCATTAATTTCTGAAGTGAGAGTTTTGAATGAGCATTTCCTTTATTATTATTATTATTATTATTATTATTATTATTATATTCCTTTTAGATTTTTTTCCATTTTCATACAATTTAGGTCCAGAAACAAGCACGTTTTTCTTAAAACTGATTTTAAACCGTTGTGCTGAACGCAACTCAATTCCACTTACATGTTGTAAATAGGCTACTATAACGCTAAAAGACGTTTACGATTTATTGACTTAATTGAAGAAATGTTATCATTTTAATATAGTTTAAATATAGCCTACTTTTGGGCCTAATCATTAAATCAATATTTTGGATTAACATTAAACACATTACAGCAACTAACCAAATAATTTGTTTAGTTACTTTGACTATTTTATAATCAAAATGTTTTGCATGTGTGCGTTTTGTGAATTCATCTGTTTTATAGCATATAGCCTAAATATAGGCTAGCCAACTAATTTAAATTGATATAATTATCGGTATCATCACCATTACTTTTTAATTTATTGTAAGCTATACTAGTTGTTTATAATTAATATCATTACAAAAACTGTATTCAGAGTCGTATAAAGTTTTTCAGGGTGATGTCATTATAAGCTTGTTGTAAGTTCAACATATTTATTTATTTATTTTATTTTATTATTTATTTGGTTTTTTTTTTGGAGATGAAAGCTTAATGAAAGCTTAATTTTTTTTTTTCTGAAGGCAACTGCGCAGGTCCAGCAGCCAGATATGTTTGCATCATTTGAACAAACTCCAGCATCCTCAAATATCCATCAAATATCCATCAAGTTTTACCTGGCAGTCTGTCTTTAGGGAACCTGCGGTTATTGTCCATCCAGGGGAAACACAGCGCCGGTGCGGCGCTCACCATGGCCGGCGGCACCGCGGCAGCGAGAGGTCTGTGCGCCGGAACCCGAATCACTCCACTGGGCACCAGAGTGCCGCTCACCCCGTACACCCGCCCGGAGTCCTCCAGCGCGCCCGTGACTCCGGACAGAGAGACGGGTAAGGAGACATGAGGCGCGACGGTCGCCCTGGATGGGCTTCCCAAGCGGCTGTTATCCACAGTGTTTCCGACCCTGCTCTGCTGGTCCAAAGAGCCCAGAATCTGGTCGATCCCGAATCGTATGGGTTCCTGATTTGATTTCGATGGCGGTTTCGTCTCCGCGCGCTCCATGACTCCTCGTTGCGCAGCAGTTTATGAAAGATTAAAACAAACGAAATCACGTTAACTGCGGCAAAAATAGATTTAATTTAGTTTTATTCGTGCCCATGGTCTCGGATGACGGTCCTCGTTCCTCTAATTCCTTGTTTGAACTCTGACAGGTCTCGCCACCTCTGCGCCGCGCGTCAAGCTATCGAGTTTCCGCTCCGCGGCTCCTGCCAAACTCATCAGCTCAAGGTTTCATTGGTCGACTGAACCGAACCGTCATTATCTCTGTCTATTGGTTGACATTTAGGAACAGGGGAGAAAAAAAAACTGCGAACTAGAGCCTCACCATGTTATTCAGTAATGTCATCACACCAATTTCTGAAATGCGCATTTATTGGGGCTGAAAGATGCTGCTGCTAATTTATTTACAGACGTCTCTCATTATGTTGAATTGCATTAGCACCGTTTTACGCACAAACTTTGAATTTACTTTGTAATGTTGCATGCAACATGAATCAAGATTTGTAGATTATATCCAGTAGGAAATATCAGTCAGTGTTTTCAATGCAAAAGGATAGTGTTAAATTAATTCAGTTTTGTCACTATAATACAATTCTTTCATATACACATACACATACATACATACAGGCAATTCTAATTATATATAATGTTTGCACATATTCAAAACAACGAGTCGGCCTATATTCTGTATTAGAAAACTTAATACTGCAATCTGTGTTTTTCTACTAAATGGATTGACTGAGATAAACGTGAATGATTCATTGCGTTATCGATCGTTCGGCAGAAATCGGAGACTGTCGGTGTTCGTCATTACTAAATACAGTCCCGCTGCTCAGATGTACAGCATTGATTTGTGCCATGGCGTTGATGAATGCTCAAACCCCACATGCCAAATGCTCTCCATCCGCGTAATTTCATTCAGTAAAACTATCCCGAAACAGACCAATTCGATTTTATTACGTAAATGTCACCCAAACAATATCCATCAAATATAAGAAGTTCTGTGCCGGACCGTGGCGCGCGCAAAGCCTTTTAAATTGACGGCCAAATTCGTGTCCTCACACCGGGAAATGGAGTGTTTGCCGAGGGCAGGCTGCTGGCAGGACACGCGCAATGAAAGAGCCGTTGAGATTGAGTCAGTAATGCAGTTTAGAAGCGTCTGAGCAGGTGAAATGGACATAAGCAGCCCCGGGCCCCCCGCACACATGCGCTGGATATTTGACCACCGAGAACCAATGACAAAGACTTACTTTGGTTTTTATTGGTGATTCTTTTCCTGGGTGAATGTTGTTTGCTTTGCAATTATTTGGCATGGATGTGTAGATTTGTATTTCAGCGAAAGCAATCCAATTCATTTGTCAAAACCGATCAGAATACCTTTAAACATCTTTTAAATGGACATATGTGGATGTTTCTAAAGGTGCTGTAAAAAATATGCTGGATTTGACACCTGCTGAATTCAACCTTAATTGCGCTGAAAATCTTTTAATTTGGAGTTGCCGTTCTTTTTAAAAATTGCTTGTATATCTGTCATTATGCTATATTAAAACCAAATCTTGCACACACACACAATGCGCTGGATCTTTTGCCACCGAGAACAAATGACAACGACTTACTTTGGTTTTTATTGGCGATTATTTTCCAGGGTGAATGTTGTTTGCTTTGCAATTATTTGGCATGGATAGATAAATTTGTATGCTAGCGTTTCTAAAGAAAAGCAATCTAATTCGTTTGTCAAAACTGATCAGAATACCTTTAAACATCTCTTTTAAATGGACATCTGTAGATGTTTGTATTGTATTATTGCACAAAACGCTATTTTACCAAATATTAGATTCAATCTGCTATTTGTCAACCTTATTTCAATTAGCACAGGTTTTGTATTTCTTTTTTGAAATGATTGCTCAGTAGGCCTCATTCATCTGAGCATATGCACCTGAGTTTTGGAGTGAACATTACTAATCATTCTTTTTTCATTCATTACAAATCATTCTTCTTCACTCAAAAAACGAGATGCATAAACTCAGATCAGTGAGGCCTACGAACAATCGTTTTAAAAAAAGAAATACAAAACCTGTGCTAATTGAAAGAAAACAGTTGAATTCAATTTTTGGTAAATATATGCAATTTTATGTAGGTCGGTCACTTTTGATCGGGAACACCACAAGTGTAACAAGGTGGGGGGAAAAATCTGAAGAAATGCTAAAAATATAAAGTTTTACAAGATGTTATACCCTGTGGGAGAAACGTCAGTACTTTTAATCCAAAGCGATAACATTAACCTTTTCGGTAAAAATCAAATCCTCTCGGGGTCAAGGTGAAACACAACGCGAGATTAGGCTAATTCACGTGTAGGCCTACTCAAGTCGCTTAACATGCATATGGAAATGTTTAATAGTTCTAAAATTTGGCATCCACTTTAGTTGTTTTGTAATAAAATCATCTGTATCATTAAACTCAGAAAATCAACAAGTATGTAATTTGTGACCTGAGGTGCAGCAGCGTAATTTGCTCTCACAGACTATTAGTGTGGCAGTTTTCAGCTTCAGTCTCTCTCCAGTGAAATGGACACGGTGTCTAAAAATGTGACACCGCCACTGAGCTTTTGACGGCTGTTAGTTTATCGTTGACACATGAATGATTTTTTAAAAACCACCCCATGAATGTATTCAGACATTTCTGGCAGAAACGCTCGACTCCCCTAAACGTGCTTCTGGCAAGTTTCCGTGCCATATGCGCACGCCGCGACAAATTTGGCCTGTTTGCTGTTAGACGCGCGATAATAGCATATAATTATGTGACATTTGCTTCTCCTTGAGTTTCCGTTTTGTCGAACATTTGACAATTGACAACGTAAAGCAGATATATAACAAATATCTTTGGTCATACACTCAAACTGAATTGTTTTTGGTGGCGGTTACTCTCTCTCTCTCTCTCTCTCTCTCTCTCTCGTGATAGATTGAGGAAGCTAAGAGCTCTTCACTATCGTGTAATCGGCTCCGGAACGATATCACTCCTCATCCTGTTTCTCAGGGTGTCCCGTGAGGTTTGATCCATCAGATGACCGAGTTAGAATAGAGACCTACTGTGATTTTCTAATTACTCCAACAATGTAATTAACTCATTCTTTTAGTTCAAGTGCAAGACTTAAAAAAACTTCTTCTTCTTATAGACTTTATATATATGTGACCCTGTCTGTGAAAATCCAGCCAAATTAATTTTTTGGTGATTTACTGTTTTCTATATAAAATCATTCCTCATAAGGTAAAGAACATTCTGTGAAAATATATACTGACTGAATAAGACCATGTCAAAGATTGAAATCATAGTGAAATTAATGGTTGAAATCAAACTTTGATGCTTGTTATCTCATAATTAGATTTTGAGACTTTAGCCTGGATTTCACAGAGAGGGTTACATATTTCCTTTTCTAAAATGTCATTTTTACTGTTAATACAGTTCATCTGTATTAATCTAAGTATTGAAATTATGACCAATTACAAAACTATTAACATATAAATTAAAAGTAAATTATAAAAAAGCATGTCAGATGAATGAATTAAAGATGAATAAAAATGAGAAATTCTAGAACAATCTAGTTTAAAACACATGTGCCAAAATTATGAAATGTAGGCCTAATCTTTGTATCTCTGGATTCATAATTTTCATTTTCTGAAAAACTTTGAAACCATTTTCAACAAAACATTTTTGGTTACGACTCATTTTGACTTGATTCGACTTTGATTCAAATCAAATCAGTTACAGATAGGCTATTAAGATATCAATAACCAACTTCAGATATTAATTCACTACTAAAAAAGAATGAAAAATGCGATTTAAAAAAAAGAAAAGAATTAGATTTGAGACTTTCCCCCTTTTTTCTCCAGAAACATGTTTTAGACACTTTTTAAGACACACAAAATATCAATATGACTTTAATTCTAAAGATTAAAACGTGTTCCCCATAGATAAGATGCACGTAGGCTATGAATTGCGTATTCACGCGTGAATTGTTGAATATCTGGACATTTGATCCACTGTTAATCACGCCCTCAGATTTCAGATTTGAATTGCCGATATTTTTCACAATTATAGCGTGCGCAAAAGTTTAGGAACATTGATGGCGAAATTCTTGCATTTTGTTTTCTTCCCTTCAGCCCCTCCATTTGTTGCAATGATTGAAGGTCAGATCCATCATTGGGCTCGACACATTAAATGTTTTATTCTCCGGAGAAACCGAGACGTATGAAACAGAAATATAAGGGAATAAAAGCCAACGATTTGTCTTTAAAATTACCCCCGTATTTGCATAATAGGGGATTCGGGTGTCGCGCCCGCGGGCGGCGTTTTTATTGCGCGTCTCCGGCGCGTTATCAATTTCCAGACTTCAGCACAGAGCGAGACCTGTCACGCGCGCGGATCTGAAGAACACAGACAGAACCAGAGATATAAAGCAGCAAAGTAGAATTAAGTGATATAAGGGTCGTATGTGCTTTTCAATAATAAATAAGAGACTTTGAGAGAAGCGGTGGAGCAATATGAATTGACGCCGGTAAGTAATAGAGCATTTAAAAACACCTACTATGTTTTTATTATGATCTGTGCAGAAGCACCACAGACTGAGGCAATGTGAAAATCACGAGTTTAAAGGCCACACTGGAAAAACTCAATAGGAGAGAAAATCCTCACAGCCCTGAAGCCAAACTGACACCGCAAATGACATTTGGACTGTTAATAATTCTCATCCTCCGTCACCCCATGAAATATTAAATAAAGCCTATTAAATGTAAAGTAATAGCCCGTGAATTCGCTGGTGTTGTTGAACATCTGTTTCCTCTCGCACTGAGACTAAAGCATTGATTCTAAGTCAGATTCAATGCGTTGATGATGCAATGGTGCGACATTAGCAAGGTTAATGAGGAGGAAGCTCTGGTTTGAGTTTAGCAGGTTGTCTCACAGTTTTAAGACGCTTTTGCATTAGATATGTAGTATATGTCAGTTCTCTTTAAACTCAAACACATTCTAGAAGAGTAAAAACATGTTTTTTTTGGCCTAAATGTTAGAGAGTCGGACTCGTAACCCAAAGGTTGTGGGTTCGAGTCTCGTACCGGCAGGGATTGTAGGTGGGGGGAGTGAATGTACAGCGCTCTCTCCCACCTTCAATACCAT